TTTTTTTTAAAGATTGTATTTAACCATTTGTTTTTCTGTGTGTTTTCAGATTGAGAATAATGGCTTCACCCTGCATACTAAAAGTCATATTAATGGACAACACCAGTCAGAGGCTAACACTATCAAACGGACTTCCTCAATCTGTAAGTGAGCTCATGGAAGAAGTGCGGCACCAGTGTGGACTGACCTACACCTTCAACCTTCAGTTTATGGATCCACTCTTTAACGATGACTTTATGAATCTGACCTCAGTATCTGAGATACAAAACAGAGGCACAATTAAGGTGGTAAATCTGTCGGATCCAACTATTTTACAGTCACCTGTTTCATCTGCTGGTTGTCGTTCACCATCAACTTCAAGTTTTTCTGGTGTGAGCTGTCCTGACACAGACATTCTTTCTTCAGCTGAGTCTCAGTCTGAGCCATCCACCTCAAGGTCATTTTGGCCAGCCAAGTTTTGTGTTCCTCAGTTTTCCTTTGACTCTGAATTAAAACTTGAGCGAGCCAATGCGGAATATAAAGAAAATGGGACACTTCTCACTCCAGATAACAAACTTTTGTCAAACATTCTTGATGGACTTGTGCAAGAAATTGTTCATTATGGACTTTATATAACCGACAGCCAGTTCAACAGTGTGGGTGAGGCGCTCATACTAAAGCATCCCTGTCTGTCAGAGCGAGGCTCAGTAAGTGGATATGCTGGATGGAAACATCGCCTAAAAAACAAGCTTTCAATTTACCGAACTCAGTTACGAAAACTTGGTTGTCACGAAGTAACTGTCAATGCTTTGGCCCACAAGCCACAAGGCAAAGGCCCTGCTTTTGCCATTAAAAAGCCAAGGCGCTCTGAAGTGAACTATTGCCCTCCTTATCCCACAGGAGAGACCGAGGAAACCTTAGAAACACTTCGAGTGGAACTTAAAACGGATGTAAAAAAGAGGAACAACACAGAAACAGTGNAATCAATAAAAGTAGTGTGTAAATTAGATGTGTTTTTAAGCAATACAGATATTGTCCTGTCTTTTCCCCACTCTCCAGCCAATGCACAAACACCATGGCCCACCGCACTTCATGTACTGTATCTCTCACACTACCATATGTCTAAAGCACACAGTGCAGAGCAGATATCACACAGTAAAAAAAAACATTTTTATTAAGCCTCATTTTAGTAAAGTGAACAGATAGTGTAATATATTAGTATTTAGTGTAAGTTTAGATATGTTGAGATTATTACAATTCTTAAGACAGAAAATTGTTAAAAATTATTATTATTATTAAAAATGTTAATCTCCCATGCCTAGTAAAATGTTTTGCAAATTTGTAAGTGAAAGAATTTATTTGCTTAATTTATATAGTTAATATCCATTTATGTACAAAGTACTAGTAGTTCATTGAACAAAAAAAATTAATAAATGATTGAAAACATATTTGTCTCTGGCAGGTTGTTGGTATAAAAATGCATAGCCTAATCTTTAACCTTGAGTTAAGANTCTATTTTTCTAGATAAATGCTGAATTCAAGAGAATCACTACTCTGCCACTGCAGTCCCGGTTCCTCTCGCAGCTCGACATTCTGTCTTCCAAACTTCTTGCGCTCTATAAAAAAAGAGGCGGACAAATAGGCAAACGCCTAAAAAGTATAATGGACCAAATGACTGAAGTAAGATGAAAAACAAAGTTTAATTCATTTTTGATTAGGAAATCTAGTAATTTCAAATCTGTCCACATATCCTCTAGGAAGATGTCGACCATGGGCGTGAAAGTGTTCTGAAGGGCCTTTGTGTGTACCTCAATGAAGACCCAGAACACCTGATACGACAGCATGTAGTGAGTATCATGAAACTGTTTGAATTTTTTACATTTCTAGTTACATGTCGGGTAAGGTTTTCCAAAAGATCATCCCAATATTAATCAATAAAAGTAGTGTGTAAATTAGATGTGTTTTTAAGCAATACAGATATTGTCCTGTCTTTTCCCCCCTCTCCAGCCAATGCACAAACACCATGGCCCACCGCACTTCATGTACTGTATCTCTCACACTACCATATGTCTAAAGC